GTTTTTACATTGCAGCAGCATATTGTAATATCAATTTTCTAATTATTTAGTAGGGATCAGTATGAAGCACTCCTAAACAAAATATTTTGGCTTCACTTTTGCACAATGGATGATAGCTTCATGCATGGTCATCTGTCGATTAGCCCGTTTCTTAATCACAAAGGACAACTGTAAAACTAAGAATGGTATATTCCAAGTGCCATGCATTCTTCTGCATTGCAATAATATATTCAGATGGACTCTAACTGCCCTCGATCAGTCTTTTAAGCTGTGCGATGATGGAACTGATTCTGTGATTTATTGCAAAACAAGACATTTGGGGCAAACGATCGTTGCTGTAGAACCCATCAGAAAGGCGACACAGGTTTGAACTCTGATTCAGTTCACTGAACATCAGCTGTCTAACTAAAAGTCCTCCTATGTGCACCATGACTCAGGATTAAATATGCGTGAGATAAGGAGATAAAATTGAAAACGATTTCAAGGAGTGATCAGACAAAAAGCCTGGAGCACTGTGCCTAAACGTAGACCCTGCATGCTGAGTTTGTGAGCTGTACAACACACACCACTACATAAACGACAAAACATTGTACCCTTGTACAATATCCCATCTGATGGCACATAAATAAACACCCTCTCTGTAGACGTAGCACTGATCTATGGGGAGAAAATACACAGCAGGTGTAAAACTACAGAACAACATGTGGCTTTACAGCCCAGACAAAACCAACAAATAAAGACCTGAAAACAGCAGAAGGCACAAACCATAAATGTTGATCAGAGATTAGTCCCTATCCCACAAGCACTATTCATGTCTGGGTCTTGAGTTACTAACTGCACAATGATCTCTGAGGTCCTCTGGGAACCCGGAGGGTCCTGGATCATGTTCACCCCCGTTTCTTCACAGGCACGGCCAGAGGACTCAGACAAAGGTTCTAACCACATGTGAGGTAAGCCTCCTCCATTGTTCTTCGCTCTTCAAACCATTTACTTCACGTTTGTGACAGATGTCCGAGCTTCGATTATGCAAGGACTCAAATCACAAAGCAACATGTTGTGTGTATTTATTTATGTACATAAGTTAAACATGTTGCGTAAAGCATATATACCAAAGCATCCTATTTATCTGGTAGAGTGCCTTGACTTTTCTCCAAGGCAAGAGAAAAAAGAGAATAGACATAAAAGTGTGACCGCGGTGAAGGAGTTGGGTGCACAGGTAAGAGAAGAATGAGTCTTCCATGGAGCATAAGCAGGAGGTTTCATAGGAGACAAGTAAAGGCAGCATATGCTAGTACAGGCAAGCTGCTGCAGGGATGAAGGCTTGACTAATTTAATATCCAGCTGAAACTCGTCTTTGTCTTCCCTCAGAAGGTGTTCCTGCATTTTTTTCAAATTGCATCTCAATTGCATTTGAAGGAGAACAGCATCTATAAATCTTCTCGGCTCTTCAACTATCTATTAAGTCTTGTTCACACATCAGTCACAACTCTTCTCCCACATGATTTTTTTCATCTTTTGTAATCAACATCAATCAAACAGATGTGGAGACCTGTGGCATCGCTGTGCGTTTGTACAAAATGATGCATGGAGGTGCAACGCCTTTGATGAGAGACATGTAACACAAGCAATTCATCAGACTGACTACTCCCTCGTGACTCGTGTCGAATCAGCAACAAATCAATTTCAACCCTTCTGTACTTCCACATCAAACACTAATGTGTGATTCTTTAAGAGCAGATGAGGTTTTCTGCAGTAGTAAACCATATTGCTTAATTCTACTTAGCATTTTTCTCCTTTCAAATTTAGCAAACTGTTGTTTAATTTCCCTCTGGGATTAATAAAGTATCTTTGAATTGAACTGAATTGAATTTTCAGGAGGATTTTTCTATTTTGGTTGTGGTCAGGATCATTCTAGCTGTGTTTTAGTTCCCCACAATCTCCCGAGAAATGAAAGTATTTCTTTTATGACTTTGTTTTCAGATGTACATCCGGTTTATCACCTTTCTTTTCTCAAATACCTCCTGCCTTGTGCAGAAAAACTGGTTTCCATTTAACCAAAACCAAATAGAAGTCATCAAAGATCTTCTCATGCATCAACATGAGGGATCCGTCTGCCTTTTTCCTTTCAAATATGCACAGAGAGGTAAGTGTTTTCCTTTTAGTGACGACTTTTGAAGTGGAAACGCTTCAGAGTGACAGACATCTGAAAAAAGTCAACACCAAGAAGCATAATATGGAGAAATGGTGGGATATAAAAGAGTGCAGATGTGAAAGTGGTAATGAGGTTTTCAGTTTGTATAGATCCCCCCTCACAAACACACATGCACATGCATGCATGCATGCACTCACACACACACACACACACACACCACCACCACCACCTCCCGAGAGAGCAGCCAGTGAAACTTCCTATTTTGGGAAACAGCTGCTTTAAAACAACAAGCTCTGGAAAATGTTTAAAATGATGGGAGAACGACTCCCGCAGCATTCTCACCAACTTTACACTTTCCATGAAGTCATAACAGATGGTAACATAGGTTGATGGTGGCTGGCGCACATCTGGCGCAGCTGTGGTGTGGCACAGTAAATTTTGGGTGGGCGACCAGTAGAACCAGAGATGTGAGAGTCGTTATTTGATGCTAATGAACTGAGTCTGATTTCATGAGTGGAGAGTCGCTGCAGAAGTAATCTGAGCTCCTGATCCTGCATGTCTGATCTGTGATATTTAACAGCTGCACGTCTGCAGCTGCTTCAAAGGCAGACAAATAAAAGCCGCTTAAACTCAGATCAGAGAGATAAAAGAGTATAAATAATAGCAATGCTCCTTTTCTCCTTGGTGTAAAATAAAATCATCATTTCAGTTTAGACGTGTCAGTTTTGCAGGTGTAATCCTGCAGGAACAAACGAGTTAAAATGATCTAAAGTTATGTTTTTCTGTTTGGCTTCATCATATCTAGACCATGTTAGACTCAGGGATGTTAAGGAGAGTTAGAAAAGCATTACATTTCTCAGATTTCAACACATCAGCCAGGGATTAAAATAATCCTAAAAGCCGGTCCATTATATCAGCTTGTACTTATTCAACTGAGATCTAGAAAAATGTATCATCTGAATAAAAGCAAACAGGAAGGCCTTTTAGACCAGAAGCTTGCGAGTTTCTGCTACAAATGATTATGCTGTTATTTGCATGATATTTATGCTAATAGTAGAGATGTGCAATCATTATCGGCCTATGTTAGCATTAAAATGTAATATTGGAAATGATCTGTGTTAGTTTTTACTCTTTTAATTACATATTTTACCATGCACATATGCATTCAACTCTTCAGCTACTTCTCTCACTCAAAATGTCAAAACATGACAGACCTGAGGTTCCGCTGCTCTGATATTTGTGTTTGTTGGCACAACTGGCCTAACGTACATTAAAGTGGTTGTCAATTTTTGCACAGATAGTGTTTACAGTTTAGGTGTGCAAGATAGGAGATGTGTGAAGTTAGTTACCTAGCATGATTTTCGTTTTCTCTCAGTAAAAAACAGATGCTGAACACAGCCTATACTAAATATTTGTCATTTGGCGTGGAGTTTACCAATGATGTACAACAGGAATTGCAGTTAAATGATGCAAAAATTAAATTTCAGCTCTGAGGTGCAAGTTCTCTCAGTGACTATATTGTATTGCGTAATGAATGAAAAAAGTAAAGGTTTATTACTGCAGTCTGAGATGAGCATACCTGAGGGGAGATGAGCATACCTGAGGGGGTCTGAATGCTCTTAAGAGTCCAATCTCAGGTCATTAATGGGAAGTTTTTGTAATCAGTGCCACAAACACTAAACTAACACAATTTCTGTAAATGCATCCATGTTTCAACCATAGAGATGAAAATAGAAATATATTCAAAACTTCAAGATGTGCAGATGTTAGCTTTTCAGAATAAAAGCATAATTATATCATGAACATTTAAACCAGTCTTTGGTGTTTCAGCTGATGGGATTCATTTTTAATAATTACTAATAGATGCATTTTATTGAGCTAAAACCTAATTGGCTGGTGCTGAAATTTTGTGAAAAATGGTGCAAATCATCTAATTTTGATATTACGCCAGTGCAGTTTGATGATTTAATTTGAAAAACAAAATTTAAAAACTAATGATTTAAATAAATGTAGCATTCACCTTCAGGCTTAAATAACATCATCAGATCCAAAGATCCACACACAAAAGAACAGCGCAGACACTTTGACAGACAGGAGCGGTAAAACAAACTGTCACCTTTGAATAACTGGAGTCTCTGAAGGGCAGCTGCCTCTGTCATCAGTGTAGCCTTTTCTGCAGATGCTGACTTTTTCTTGTAACTGAAGCTGAAACCAGATCTACACTGTCTCAAACCCCCTGCCAACGCCCCCTCGAGTTACACAGGACACAGTTACCCCACTTGGCGACACCCGGTGACCCTTGTGTGTCAGAGGTTTGCTGGTGTGAGAGAGAACGCCTGCAAGTTTGGATGGAATATCTAATTACCCCTCTGTGACTTCTGAAACTCATTATGGCATTATCACAATCAATCTTAAGCATAAATCTGACCCTGAAATAAAGTTTTCTAAAGACTAAACCACGTTCTTTTCTGGCTGATTTACAGTCACCTTGAATTCACTTCCTGAGTCGAAACATAAGCAAGTTTCGGCCTGTTTGAGCGTTTGCTCTAAACCATCCTAAAACATGTGCTGAGCCAAATAAAGACTTATCTGTAGAAGCCTGAAGTATGGCAGTAGACCCTCAAAGCACTCATTCATCACCTAATGTTTTCCATCTAAAGAGGAAGAGCTTCAGTTTAAAAACATCTATCCCAAATAAATGATGAGTGTATATGAAGTAAAGGTCTGTTTGACCCTATGAAGGTCTTTAGTCAGCATTATGTGACTGAAGACTTCATAAATCTTGTCCTTGAGTTCCCTACAGCCACTAACCGAGACCGGCTGTTGGCTGTGTGGAGCCGCTACTCACTTCAAAGCGTTGAGGGCGGCTCGGCTGGGACAGGACAAAGTACTGTACAGCCAGGTTCAGGTAAGCCGTGCGGTATGAGCTGATCTTCTTGTGACTCTGGACCAGTTTAAACAGCTCCAGGCACATCAGCCCAGCCACGGCTGCTGTGGTGGTGGCGATGGCAGGGATAATCCTCCCAGCGATACGCTTACTCTGGAAAAGAAGAGTAAAAAGTTTTCTTAAAGGTGCATTATGTAAGAATGACAGCCTGTGGTCAAAATTGGGTACTGCGATTAGTTTTAAAAAAATTATATCAAGTTGTTGGTAAATGAAAAATTAGCTTGAGATATTTTTAGAGCCGACTGCTTCAAATTCACTGTTAGCATTGTTAGCTCAACATTAGCCCCTAGCCTTCTTTGACCAATATTAGAGTAAAACAAATGATGCCGTTTCGTCTTAGGGGTACAAGAAATAATTTCTAGGTTGCTCTTTTTACTGGCTTCCATTGTAAATGCTGCTGCTTTTTTCGAGCCGATGTCGAATTGAAAATGCCAGTGCAGACTTGGCAGCTTTACAAGCTCACATATGATTTCTCTGGAAGCAGGAAGCATGGAGGCGGAGCAGATTGTAAACAATGACTATGTCCCTCTTTAGCCTTTCTAAAAGAAAAAAAAAACTGGCCTCCACCCAGCCAGCTGAGAAGGAAATCTGTTACATTATTTCACATAAAAATTCCTACTTATTGCACCTTTAAGTTGTGAAAGTTCTATGATCTATACAAAATATGTTTATGGACTTCTTTGCACAAAATCTCTCTGACATAAAGGGATCTAAACAGTTTTTTTTCCCCTGACAGTTTCAGTACCTTCCAGAATGAGCCGTTTGAGGGCTGTGTCACTTTAAAGGTCCTGTTTCTTGCTCTTTTACACATTCCAGAGCAATGGGAGGCACTATGTGTGATGAAAGCTTACTGATGGCACATTTGGTATGATATATAAGTTATTTTTGTGACCTATTACTTCAACTTGGAAATAAAGGCACTTAGAATAGATCAAACCCTGTATCCTACTGTATAAATTACACAGTAGACCCAGGGATGGCAGATTCACACTGTTATGTCCCAGTCAGAACCTCAGTGAAAATAAACTAGAGCTGGTCACGCCCACTCCTCCCCTGATCAGGCTGTAAGCGGAGTTTTGCATAAAATGCTCCTTTTAATCTTTATGGCAAATCACAGCGAGACATTAAGGTAACTAGAATATGTGAAGTCCACATTCTGATTTATCCTAACAAAGTTGCGTTGGTTTATTATCGAAAAGGCAGCTTCTCACGGTTCCAGATGGAGCGCTGTGGCAACATATTTTTCAGGAGGCCACAATGACCTCATGCATGGGCTAAAATCCCATCATGCAATTTGTAGTGCATCCTGGTAGGGCTTTGGAAAGCCGTCCGAGGTCGAGGGGGTATTACTTCAGAATTCAGCTTTTACAAAAAAAAAAAAAAAAAAATTGAGATGATTAATGACTAGCTGAGGCTCAATCACATCACAGCTTTCCACTAAAAAGGCATATTTGACAAAATATAGTGAAACTTTTGTTAATTAAAAAAATAATATTGTGTGAAAATATTGCTGAGATTTACAATACTCGGCTCCCTTCATGATGCCTTTTTCCATCACAAAAACGAGTCTGATTGAGGCGCAATGGAATTGTTTGCATGATTAAACTCAGGGGTAACTCTTTTGTCTCCTTTTGTCCCACATGGGGCCTCCATCTGTCTGCAGCGGCGGCTGGTACAAGGTGCAGCTCAGGTGTCACCTCCTAGGCAACAGGTAAAGTGCCGTGATTAGTTCTGCTCCAGGAACAAAAGGTGAGGAGGCTTTTTCTGTGGCTTTGGGGCAGGTGTGTAAAGAGCCAACTAAAGACATGACACCCCCCCACCCCCCAGGGAAGACATCTTTTTTTTTTTTGGTTCAGTTTTCCAAAAAAATACAAAAAACACTTTTAGATGAGGTAAACAGACCTGGTGGCGATCAGCTGGAGGAATATCATAGTTCTCTGCTCTCAGGTTGGACGCAGCAACAATGTAGTCCACATGAAAGTTTGTGTCATCATCCTGTTGAGATAGTGGATGCATCATTAGTCAGTGTCAGAAAACAGTTTAAAGCTCAACCTAATACTGAAAGCATGATCAAATCCACCTCCATGCCAGGTGATGATGCTATGCTGTTTATCATCTTCGCCTGCTTTGTTGCCGTGTCACTGTGCTCTCCGTGTCAGAAAGGAGTGGAAATGAGAGTTATGATGTGATGGACATGGTCGCTGATGTCAGGCCTGTGCTCACACAGTTCCACAAAAGCTTGGAGACTGACTGTCACTTTGGGATCGCTTCAAGGTTGATGATGAAGCTCCAAACTGGCAACCCGATGCCTTAAAAACCCTCCTACACACATTCCATCTGTCCACAACACGACCAAGGCACACAGGGATAATATGGAAAAGGGGGAGTTTGGAAATCTTGGTTTTTTTTTTATTAAAGAGGTCATTCAATAGGTGCCTGACTTACCTCATGCACATTCATTGTTGCCACCAATGAGTCACTTAAAAGTTTTTTCTAGAATATCATTCAGATAGATGCTTAAAGACAGTTTTATTCTCCTAATCCTTTAATAACTAATAAATGCTGCAACAGAGGAGCTACAACTTCTCTGGAGTTCTTTTTAGCAGGTTATAAACCAAAATGTCCAAGCCAAATATTCATTTCATTGCTAACCAAGGAATGTTCTAGAGGGGACCGGCTGGGGCCAGCTGTTCTGTTCGAGAGGCACCTTTCAAAGGCAACATCATATGGTTTTAACTGCAGACTAAAATTTAAAATACTTAAAGTCAATGTTTGTAGTAGCAGCAATCCAGGTTCAGTTGTTTCAGATACAACAGTTTTTCAATAAGGTTCAAAATATAATTATTTAGTAAAATACTTTGGTATCTTAGTCATCTATGTTAGTGACGACATAAAAATAGTTCTCTCAGCATCTCTTTTCAGCTTCAGATAAATGCATCCATGTGTTTTGGTTCCACGCTAAATTATCACAGAAAATCAATAAGCCTTCTTTATACTTCTCCGTCAGCTTGAGTGTGGAGTCGCGGTCATGCATTGAAGGAGGTGTTTTTCCTTGAGATATCTTTGGGAAGTGTTGCAAAGCAATTCCCAACAAGACAACAGAGGGCATAGCAGTGCTTTCTGGGCTATCCTGCCACCATGCAGTCCAATCTATTGTGTTTACTGTTGTGTTTACATTGTTTTAATGTATTTTAGAGACTTTTTAACACAGAAGAATTTGTCCCTCATTCTTTGCTGTCCCTTCATATGATTGGCACCTCTAAACCCACATTTCCAATCGTTTCCGTCCACAAATAAAAATGCTTACTGCTTATCTTACTTCATTCAAAGGTGAATAAACTTTCATATTTTTGGACTTTTTCTGCTAAATATCTTTTTGTTTTTTGAGGAGACATTGGTGGTGCTGTTGACACATTTAACGGAAGCGTCCTGACCAATCACAAGCTCGCAGTCTCCTTCACTTTCGACGGATAGTTAAAAAGCTGAGCATGTCTCTGTCAGCCTTTGCGAGCCTGTCGAAGAGCTCTTGCACCAGTGCATAATGGCGTTATGTGTCTCCTAACTAACGCAGATGGGGAAGTATAAATTAGGTTTTAGGCTCTGCCCTAAGCTGGGGGGTCCAAGCTTGCTGCTAGGGTGGCACAGGCCCACCCCATACCCCCCTCCTAGAACCACACCTGGTTTTAGCTAATACTACAGGTATTGATGCTTCTTTGTACAGAATGCGAGTCTGGATATTGTATCTGCTGAAGTATTTTCTCATTTTTGGGGCAGATAAAGACAAAAAACCAAAAGGTTCACTAGAGAGAAGCCAGTCAGACCTTTGCTTCTATTCATCTAATCTATTATTGAGTGACCTCCTCTTTATTTTCTTCTGCTCTGGTTCTGCAAAATATTTACAGCCCTAACCGATGGATTAATGACTTGAAGTTCAGGATTTGTGGTAAAGGTGTCCGTTTCCTAGTTGAGTTTTGGGGACTGATTCCATTAATGTTAGTTTGATGGTTTGATCCAGTCTGATTCTGTACAGTGCAATATTTAAAATGTGGCTGAATTCAGAAACGGTTCCAACATCATGCTTCACCAGAGCCATAGTGCTGGAAAGGATGTGTTTAGTTTGCTTTTGAAACTGAAACATGATTCTATGGAATTTTGTTTGGAAAAATAATTTGATTCTTATGTTTCGGGAAACTGAAGGATTTGGGAATAATGGAAAGAAGACAAGCAACATAAACCCGAAGTAAGACCTTTTTTCTGAGTCCACACCACAAGAAGTCTAGTTAAACGCAGTTCATTTAGAGTCCTGATGTGGGACGTTATTCTCTTATCCCAAAGGGAAATACCAGCACCTGTGACGTCTACAGTGAACAGTCTAGTCTATGTTGGAAGGGTCTGCTATTTTAAGAAAAACTCCGTTATTGGCCATCAGAAAGCCCAGCTTTCTTATCAGCAGTGTGAATGCAAACCTAGAAAAACCTCCTCAAGGTATGAGGACGTAAAACAAAAATCACCCAGTCAGCTACTGGAGTTATTGGCTAAAATGATGTTAAATATAAACCACTGAAATACACACACAGTTTAATTAAATGTGATGTTTTCCTGTTGAGTGTCAGTTTCTTATAAAGTTTTGAAAAACCAAGAGGGGCATTTCCAACATCTGACTCTTCTCTGAGGGCACTGTGTGTGCAAACAGCCTCCAGCTCTGTTTCATGGCTGGGTTGAGTCCTGGCTGAGGTTCAGGTCATGGAGTTGCCAACGATGTTGGGAGAAAAACAAGATAAACAACCATTCTGAAAGCAGCTATAGATTAAAGCTCCCTGCTAAGGCCCAGTCTTCCCGGTGCAGCCTCTGCAAAGCAGAAGCATCAGTGTGCTCTACCTTCTCAAAGTCGAGGGGGTACATCTGAGAGGAGCCTTTCATTGAGGACAGCTTTCTCTTCAGCTCATCCAGTCGGGCTTTAACTGAGGCAAAGACACAGAAAGATTAACACTAAAGGACAAGAAGTGGAAGAAACCAACTTAAAGAGCCCTAAAAAACAAGCTCACCAGCATCATCACCCTCCTTTTTCCTCTCCTCCTCCATCTCATTGTCTGTAAGGTGAATTTTTACGGACGACTCGGGGATGAAAGACGGCACTTTGACGTTCTCTAAGATTGCTCTGACTTTGGTGCGGTCTCTCGTCCCTTTGATCCCGTAGATCTGCCCGTACAGATTAGCCGCCGCCATCACATAATCCATGTGGGTAGACTAAAACGCAAATGTATTTATTTACAGAAAATGATTTAAGTATCTCCAGATTTGAGCCCTTATGATGGACTTGCCTGGAGGATTATCACAAAAAAAAGTAGAGTGGGTATAGAATGACATTAAGGCAGCGCCTTGGGGGCAGATTACTGTTCTGAGCTCAAAGCAGGAGGCTGCTGTAGCAAAAGCTCAATTTTCAGTCCCTCTTACAACACACACACACACACATTTACTACTTTATGTGTAAGTACTGATTACCATAAGACACCAATGGAGGGCGAGGCTCCTTTCAGTTCAAGAAAAATAATAAACTAACACTTTTTTTGAAAGATTTTAGTTTGATAAAATATCTGCTTTGTGCTCCCAAATGCTAGCTTTTAGGTGTGTGTGTGTGTGTGTGTGTGTGTGTGTGTGTGTGTTTAAGCAGTTCTTTATCTGTCTTTTATTGTCCGTGTCCATTTGCTGCTCAGATACGAATCATTAGGTGATCAAAGTGAAGAAGAACCACAGTCAGATGAGATAAACAAGGAATGTGAGCAGATGTGACTAAATATGGAGACTTTTGCATTGCTGCTGCATGATACACCGAGCCAGACACTACTCACATTGTCAGGGTCAAAGGTCAGAGGGTGAGGGCATCTCTTAGTTCCAGACCAGAAGGGCAGACCGTTGGTGGTCACCTGAGGGGGAGCCAAAGAAATTCCCTTCGTCACATTAAGGAACATCAGTAAAACCACTGCAAATCTTCACGGTTAGGACAAAGTTTGGTTTTATGTAGCAGAAAGACTTTAATTTACTGGGATAGATGCTTTTATAGTCAGTGAGTAATCTGATAAGTCCTGACTCTGGTCTTCAGAGGCAGCAGAACAACAGGCAGAGACAGACATCATTATCAGCCATGTGTCGACTGAACCATTTGTACGTCCGATAAAGGAACAAAGGCTTTGGCTGATTTCATGTTGACAAATGGTCCAAATGTGGAGATGAGGAGAAGATCCAGCTGTTTTCACTGCGAGGGGAGCTTTTTAGAGCCAAAAGGGGGGTCAAGATTTTTTATGTTTCAGATGACTCGGGGATCGAAGCATTAAAAATAATTTATACCTGCAAAATAACAAAAAGCCCATAAAATACAAATAATTATGTTTTTTATTGTCTTTCTGAAAATAATCCTTCTTTCGAAATGTTTTGTGTGCTCTAAAAAGTAACCAGAGTGGGTAAGACAAGACGAGAGACTAGATAGATAATAGAAATAAACATCTGTAAGTAGAATCATTAAATAAACACAGTTAGAACATGAAAAAAGATGATTTAAGTACAAATATGATTAAAAAAGACTACAATTACAAAACTTATTTCTATTTTTTTATATCCTTGTTTTATATTCGGTCCCGTCCTGGGTTCGCTTCCCAGCCTGGGATCTTTCTGCATGGAGTTTGCATGTTCTCCCTGTGCATGAGTGGGTTCTCTCCGGGTACTCCGGCTTCCTCCCGCAGTCCAAAAACATGACTGTTAGGTTAATTGGTCGGTCTAAAATTGTCCTTGTGAGTGTGTGTGTGTGTGTGTGTGTGTGTGTGTGTGTGTGTGTGTGTGTGTGTGTGTGTGTGTGTGTGTGTGTGTGTGTGTGTGTGTGTGTGTGTGTGTGTGTGTGTGTGTGTGTGTGTGTGTGTGTGTGTGATTGTTTGTCCTGTGTGTCTCTGTGTTGCCCTGCGATGGACTGGCTCTCTGTCCAGGGTGTACCTCGCCTGATTGCCCATTGACCGCTGGAGATAGGTACCAGCAGCGCCCCCCCCCCAACCCCCCCACCCCCACCCCTAACGTGGACAAAGCAGGTTCAGAGGGTGGGTGGGTGGACGGACGGACGGACGGACGGACGGACGGATGGATGGATGGATGGATGGATGGATATTTAGTCCCCACCTTTGGCTACCACCCATCTCACACTGCACCCAACCCCTTTGGCCCTTCCAACAGTTGGTGAGCGGGTTAGGGTTTTCCATGGAAAGGGGGACCAACATCTATTCTTCGGGATGTGCCGAGCTGGGGCCCCATGGGTGAAATCCTGGCCACTAGATGCTCACCAACAAAATGCAGGCGCTGCTTTTTGCAGCTGATGTGGTCGTGTTGGCTTCAGCTTTTGCTGGAGCTGTTTGCAGCCCAGTGTGAAACAGCTGGGATGAAAATCGGCTCCTCTACATCTTGAATCGGAAAAGGGTAGAATGCCTTCTCTGGGTCAGGGACGAGGTCCTGCCTTAAGTGGAGGAGTTTAAGTATCTCAGGGTCTCAGGGAAAGGTGGAGTGTGAGAACAATAGCTGGATTGGTGCTGTGTCTGCAGTGATGCAGGTGTTGTACTGGTCAATCTACGTTCCTACCCTCACCTATGGTCACGAGATTTGGGTAGCGACCGAAAAAAAGAGATCAAGGATTCAAGCGGAATGAGTTTTGCTGTATAGTCACTGACACTTGTCAGTGACTTGATGCAATTTGCTGGGTTCCTTATATAGGAAAAATTATTTCTGATTGGCTTAATGAACTGTCCTGAATTGGAATGTTTATTATGTGAAGTGCCTTGAGACGACTCTTGTCGTGATTTGGCGCTATATAAATAAACTTGAAATAAAGTTTTCTTGGCAGGGTGTCTCGGTCATCCAGGAGGGCCTCAGGGTAGATCTGCTGCTCCTCCACATTAGGTTACATACCTCTGCACTAGGACTATAGACATTTTTAAAAGCATAAACCAATAATAACTAGGGATGTCCCAATCCGATCACATGATTGGAAATCGGCCCCAATCACGTGGTTTCAGACTCGATCGGGACTCGGGCTTTACTTCCCGATCCAAGCCCCGATCCGGACTCGAATACTGGGTTCAAATTACAGGAGAGCAGCGTGGTTCTACTTAAAGGTTGTCGGGCTTCCCTGATGCCCTTAACTTACACACCCAGAAGGAGCACAAAAAAGATCCAGTTTCTACCCATATTATATCATTTATATGGACTCAGCGTAGCGGGGAGTCTTTTGAGCAGAGCGGCAGGCAGACCGCTGATTATTCATGAACTCCAGCTGCGTTCTGCACACGACCACAGTAACATTTTCTAAGTTTCTAAGTGGCGTCACCAAAAATACATAATTAACACACAGTCATTCGTGTCCGTTCATTTTCTCTCTGGTAAGTTCTGTCTGTATTTTAGCATGACGTGTGGACGCGCTCGCGCTGCAGCGCTCGTCACTGGCGCAGCCGGGCAGCGCACACTCCGTTTTTTTTTTGCGGTCAATAGATCAATTTGATCTGCTAGTTAAAAAGTTACTTGTGAGGTGAAGAAGAAGGAAGCAGGCAGGAGTTTTTCTGGAGGACTGGGAGATGCAGGAAGATCAGAGACAGACAGGACAGGACGATAGGAAAATAAAAACCAAGAAAACAAAACAAAGTTCTTAAGAAAATAAAATGTAGGTAGATTTATCCCACTACACGTTTGTACCTGTGTGAAGCAATAATTTATCAGCATGTAGTATTTATATAGTTGATACAATTCAGATCATCTTCAAAACTCCGTCCCATGCCCAGGGACGTATCTAAGCATTTTGGGGGCCGAGGCAAAATAGACCCCTGGCAGGTATTTTAAGTTGTAGTGCTATCTGTTTTTATATTAGACTTTTTATATTTGCAATAAAGTCCAAAAGTGAAGAATTAATGTTATTTATTACTTGATTGTTCAAGCTACCTCACAGAAGTGATCTGTTGTTAAAAATTAAAATAAAAAGGTAATTAAATAAAAAATAAGGAACATTCTGGAACTGTTATTTCCTTTTTTTTATGTATCGAAAATATCGGATCGGGATTCGGTATCGGCAGATTCTCAAAATCAAATGACTCGGACTCTAGGGCAAAAAAACCTGATCGGGACATCCCTAATAATAACGTTGCTGCTTGGCATCGACATCCAAGAGTTTCTGTCCACCTGATCTGCAGTTCCACGCTCACATCTATGTGACTGCTGGAAACCACGAAGTAACGTCAGGTTTGTGGTTATCTGCAGCGGTTGTGTACCAGTATTTGTCAGGTTGGCCTGCAACAGATAGCTGACATCAGCTCCCTTATCACAGTTCCTCAGAAAGTCTGTGGCAACAAATGACTTTCCAACTGAACAATAGAGCTTTAAATCGTCATAGATGTAAACATGAAAGAAGGGAAGAAAAAAAAGAGAACCAAAACTATGACGTCGTCAACCGATACACGGGTAGTGGTTTTGTGACTGTCACACAAGACGAAGATAGAGATTTTTTTTACAAGCTATGTTTTCTTTAAAAGAGATGTTCAGGAAATTCTCCAAACTTGCATAAATATTTAAACAGCTGTGTGCAAAGTGGAATAAATGGAGGGCTTTCCAGAAGCGTGCAGGAGAATCTGTGACTGGGTTTAGTTACTGGGGTTACTGGGGGGTTTGTTTGGGTAGATACTGATCCGTGACCCCACCCCACCTCTCCAGGTGGGACAGCAACATGTGACATCACTCTGTCTGCATGCTTCAGCAGATTACAAACACCCCTCATAGCCCCTTTGATAGTTATCAGCAGTGGCTTCCAGACCGGGTTCATCTGGTGAGTGGTGCTAAAGCTTCTCACTGCCATGTTTAAAAGGCTGATGCACAAATATCTCACAGGCCAACAGTGCCCCCATGTGTCCATAAACACCAATGACATCTGGCTGTGAGCTGATGTGTTCTTTCTCTGCCCAGAGTGTGATTTTTACCTCTCCAGGAGGGAAACAGTGCAGAAGCTGATGGATATCGTTGCTGTAGAGGGATTCCCACTTGCAGCGCGCCCAGTTCACACAGTCCTCCCAGCTCTTTGGATGCTGTCCTCCAGCTCCCATGTCCTGTAGGCTCCTCCAAACACCTTCCAAAATCTCCAGGGCCTCGGTATCTCCATGAGTAAGAGTTCTCTCCACAAACTTTGGATCGCTGCAGGATAGAGTCGTTACAATTCAACAAACGCCCTTCAGAATACATGCTGGCTACTGAGAGGGGATGCAGTCATATTTAAATGGATATCTGTATTAAAATCTCCTTGGACATTAATGAACTATACTTTAAAAAAATAAAAGGCCTGATGGAGATTGTGCTGATGCATGAACCACTGAAGAGAATTTAGCTTTTAGTGTGTTGAATTGGCTCCTACAATCAATAATTATCAAATTATTGCCTCTCTATGTTATTATTATAGTGTGTTAGGGATTTTATCAATATATTTATCAATAACCCCATTTCCTGCAGCTAGAGAAAAAGAGAGAGACAATAAGCAGACAAGTAAACCAAATTGCAATCTGTGGCAGAGCACGAGGCAACTGCCCCGAGTTCTGCTCTGCCAGTTTATTTTATAACATGGGATAAGAAAGGACAGAGGTGTGCGTGCGTGTGTGTGTGTGTGTGTGTGTGTGTGTGTGTGTGTGTGTGTGTGTGTGTGTGTGTGTGTGTGTGTGTGTGTGTGTGTGTGTGTGTGTGTGTGTGTGTGTGTGTATGTGTGTGTGTGTGTGTGTGTGTGTGTGTGTGTGTGAATGAGAGTGAGGTCATGAGTGAGAGAGACAGTGTGTGTGTATGGGAAGAACAGTGTGTGTGAATGTGGGTGTGTCCGAGTGTGAGTATGCTTCCAGCCATAAGGTAATACATTAGTTAATAGTATTAAATAAATGAAATATAACATTTCCATAACATAACATGCTTCTTTCTTATTTTTGCTTATTTCTTTTGTTCATTTATTTTTTATTTTTTGCATGTTGTGATTGCTCACACACGACAATAAATCCTTCTGATTCTAATTCACTCAATACATTTTCTGTGGTCCCTTAGCCTTGCAAGCCATCCTATATATGTGATTATATAGTCTGGCCAAAGCCCATAGAGAGTCAAGTCAAAAAGTCCAAAGTTGATGGCAAAGCCGTTTCAAATGATTTTTATCTTGAGCGGCGCTATAGAAATGATATTTTCTTCTTCTTCTACTACTGAGATTAGTCTCTCCTGTGTTCAAATTCAGCTCTTTTATAGTGGTAAATATAACCAAATCAGGTCTTACCTTAAGAAGAGGTTCACATTTTCAGGTGTTTGTTTGTAAAGTCCCTCAAACTGGTCCCGGGCCCACTGAAACAAAAATGTGTTCACTTAGCATTGAACAAGACATAAGCGACCTTTTCTCCTCTACAGAGTGGAATTTTATCCATCCAAAAAAAAAAAAAAAAAATATATATATATATATATATATATATATATATATATATATATATATATATATATATATATATATAATTTTTTTAGATGTTAAAACCTGAACATTTTAACTTTAAGGACTTTTTCTGTGTATCCCAGGGGAGCCAAATATCAACACAATGCTGAACAGCGTTAGTACCTGCAGCGTGTGCTCAATTCTGTGAGGGAAGTTCTTCAGCGTGCACAGTGGGATGTCGTGGCCAGAACCCGTCTTGGCCGGTCCGTAAGACTCTGTCAGGTGAGGCACCACCACCAGCGTGTGACCCTTGCATCCCAGAGTTCCGCCTTCCAACATCGGCCTCTGGTGCTGAACGCAGCGGCCATCTAGATACACCCCTGGGCCACAGAAAAAAAAAGAGAGAAAGATTTAACATTAGCAAATGTGCTTTGAATATGTTTAAAAGCCCTCATGTCCTCACTGGCGTCCACGTTATCAAGAGCTGCAGCCACTCCATCCAGAGCCATGAAGAAGTCGTAGCTATACACCCCCTCACTGTCAGAGTCCAGACGATTCTGATGAGCGGTGATGTTCACCTGCGGGTTCATCTCACACACCGCTTTGGCTGCAACTTCAGATTTGGGTTTCTGTTCATGGATAAATGAGAAAGTAGCTGATGTGACGTTGAGTTTGTGAGGAAAAGGCCTCATATTGTTTCACCAAACTGGATTAAACCAGATCCATCAGAGGGACTTGCAGAGGGGGAGCTCTGTGGTTTCTCACCCCGATGTCTTTAGACCTGAAGAGAAACTGTCGATTCAGGTTAGATCTTTCTATGAAGTCCATGTCTGTGACAGTGATGTGGCCGTCCTCTCCGGCACCGAGTCCAATGAGGGCAAAGTTTTTAAGGAGCTCACAGCCAATGGCACCTGCTCCTACCTGAAAAACTCATCAAAAGTTTACAAAGAAACAAGAGTAACTTTTCAGATCAAGTTAAAGCTAAAGAAAAAGAATGCCAGATAAATAATGTAGTTGTTATTGTACATGGTGTTCCTCACTCTGATGTTTTCTGTTTATTTAAGAGACCAAAACAAACACGCAGTCAGTAAATATTTTTAAAAAATAGCAAAGAAAAACAGAGAATATGCTTAGTGGATGCCTCCCATTTCTTATTTGTGCAATCATTCACACAAGATAAAAAGAAAACATGGACAACAACATGGTCAATGGTTGCTGCTCAAATTTCATTGGATATTTCCACTCGTTGTCTTGTTCTTCCTCTTCGTCCTCCTATTTCTTGCCCTCCTCCTTGCCCCCCCCCCCCCCCCAATCCTCACCCTCTCACATGAATTCTTCTATCCATTGTCACACTTTCTCATTCCCACCTTCAACAACCTGTTTGCTCTCTGAACTTGCTTATATTGGTTGTCACATCATTTGAAACGAGTGAAATCTATTTAGACCGATGGAGTTCAATCAATGACATTTGTGCTCTTGTTATGGGTAAATGTGTGCCACTTGTGTTTACCGTTATAATAATAATAATAATAATAATACATTTTATTTCAAAGCGCCTTTCAGGACACCCAAGGTCACTTTACACAAAACACGTAATAAAATACAATAAAACAATAATAAAACCCAAAGAAGAAAAAACAGAGAGAAACATTTCAATAAAATCAGAGGTTGTAGGCAGATTTAAACATATGTGTTTTGAGTTTTGATTGGAAAAGGGTAAAACTGTCGATGTTCCTGATGTCTGGGGGAAGTGAGTTCCAGAGTCGAGGAGCAGAGCGGCTGAAAGCTCTGCTCCCCATGGTAGCGAGACGGGCAGAAGGAACCGCAAGATGGATGGAAGAAGAAGATCTGAGTGAACGGGACGGGGTGTGAATACTTATAAGGTCTGAGATATATGGAGGAGAGAGGTTGTGGATTGCTTTGAAGGTATGGAGGAGAATTTTGAAGATGGGCCTGAATTTAACTGGGAGCCAGTGGAGCTGCTGGAGAACCGGGGTGATGTGGTGAAAGGAAGGGGTTCTGGTGATAATACGGGCTGCTGAATTCTGGACCAGTTGCAGTTTATGAAGGAGTTTGTTGGGGAGACCATAAAGAAGTGAATTGCAATAGTCGAGACGGGAGGTGACGAGGCTGTGGACGAGAATGGCGGCAGTGTGAGGGGTCAGTGAGGGACGAAGACGGTTTATGGAACGTAGATGGAAGTATGCTGACCGAATTAAGTTATTAATGTGAGCCTGAAAAGAAAGGGAGCTGTCGAGAATGACACCCAGACTCTTGACATGAGGTGAGGGGGAGACTGTGGCACTGTCAATAGTTAAAGAAAAGCTGTCAGATGTTGAGAGGGTGGAGTTAGTGCCAACTAGAAGAAGTTCAGTTTTATTGCCGTTGAGTTTGAGGAAATTAGAGGTGAACCATGATTTGATTTCAGAGAGGCAGAGTGTAAGGGAGGATGGTGGGAGAGTTGAGTTGGGCTTACTGGAAATGTAGAGCTGGGTGTCATCTGCAAAGCAGTGAAACTGGATATTGAATTTGCGGAAGATTTTGCCGATAGGGAGGAGATATACTATGAAGAGGAGGGGCCCCAGGACAGAGCCCTGGGGCACACCTGACTTGACTGGGGAGGGTTCTGAGGTAAAGGATTTTAACTGGATGAACTGAGTGCGGCCAGTAAGGTAAGATTGAAACCAGCGGAGGGGGGTGTGAGTGATGCCTAAGGAATAGAGTCTATTAAGGAGGATGGGATGAGAAATGGTGTCAAAGGCCGCACTCAGATCGAGGAGAATAAGAATAGAGATTAAACCAGAATCAGCAGCAATGAGTAGGTCGTTAGTGATCTTGATGAGAGCTGTTTCTGTGCTGTGGTGGGGACGGAAGCCAGACTGAAACTGTTCATAAAGGTTATTGCGGGTGAGATGTGAATGGAGCTGAGATGCAACAGTTTTCTCAAGGACTTTGGAAATGAAGGGAAGATGGGAAATGGGACGGAGGTTATTGAAATCATTGGGATCTAAACCAGGTTTTTTTAGAATAGGGCTGACTGAAGCGGATTTGAATAGGGATGGGACCGTACCAGAGGATAGTGAGGAATGAATAATGGCTGTTATAAAAGGGAGCAGAGAAGAAAGGCAGGATTTAACTAAAACAGTTGGAATAGGGTCCAGTTGACAGGTGGAAGGTTTTGGATTTGGTGATGTAATCTAATATTTCTGAGGGATGGGGAAGTTCAAAGGAGGAGAACGGAATGGTGGGTTCAAATAAATCAGGAGAGGGAGGGGAGGAATGAGGTAAAGAGAGATGGAGTTATGGATGACATGCACATTAGAGTGCAGAATGTGGTTTAAGAATGAGAATGCGTTTAGAGTTTTGCTAAACCGTGTGAAATGGTTTAAGGTTTTGACAACAGGCTCAACAGTTAGTACGTCTGTGAAGGTTCTCAGTCATCCAGGTCATTGTAGTCTAATGAGCTTTGAAAGGAAAGCGTCTGGACTTCTTTGAGTTGCTTGAAGACGTTTCACCTCTCATCCGAGAGGCTTCTTCAGTTCTAAGGTCAAATGGTGGAGAGTCCCAGATTCAAACCCAGTGGGAGTCCCCCCCCGAAGAGGGAACAAAAGACCCCCTGATGATCTTCTACATAAACACATGAGCCAAGGTGTGAGGGTGGGTGTGGGTCCTATTCAGCCAGAGTTTCGGGTGAGCTCATTGTGAAGCCTGGCCCCACCCTATCATGTGAATTCCTGAGGTCAGATGGCCCAGGATATGTGCCCCTCTTCGGGGGGAAACTCCCACTGGGTTTGAATCTGGGACTCTCCACCATTTGACCTTAGAACTGAAGAAGCCTCTCGGATGAGAGGGTGAAACGTCTTCAAGCAGCTCAGTGAAGTCCAGACGCTTTTCTTTCAAAGCTCCTTAGAGCTCAACAGTTAGCTTAATGAGTTCAAGCAACTGAGAACTTTCTTCAGTCAATGGATTTTAGTGTTTTAGCAATTGAGAAAAACTGTAAAACACAACAGAAATGGGGTTCCTGTGCTGCAGTAGAAACAGCGCTCTCTGTTGGACAAATATCAAAACTCCTCACCAGGAAATACTTCTGGCTCCCGAGTTTTTCCTGGAACTCTGACCCGAAGACGGGAATCTGTCCGTCGTACCTTGAGCTTCTCTATCAGAGAGATAAACAGAAGGACTCAGATTACTTCAGGGCTTTTCTTTAAAGGCTGATTTTTTACCATTGTGGTTCAGCGTACTGGTTGAAAAAAACTCTCTGCCAGCTGTTGCTCATCTTCAGGGAGACACTCCAGTGCATCAAAGTACAGCCACTGCTGGAGAGGGGTGAACTTCCCACTACACGCCTGCAGGGATAAACAACCAGTTAGAAACAACCACTGGTGTCAGTCTAAAGTTAGTCTTTGAGTACTCCTGGATTGATGAGGGGTAATCAGTAAAACTGAAGGAAAGGTTTTCTAAACAATGTGGACAATGATCTTGCCGTGATTGTTAAAATAAAGGCCTAAAGCTAAATATTTTATTATAAATAACTGAGTTTTGAGCTAGATTAGGAGTCTTCAACTTTCGACTCTGAAGCCACAAGTGGCTCTTTAGACTCTCAACAATTGTTCTTAATAACATGATCTGAAAATTATTTTTAAAAAGTTCTTAAAAAAATATAATAATATAGTATATAAATATAGTTGTAGTCAGCTACGTCTTTTCTTACTAAACTTAAAACATCTTTTGCGGCCTGTTGAAAATAAGCACTTTCTAGGTGTCAAAATGTGTCTTTAAAATTCACAGACATCATATGTGAAAACCCTGACACACATCAAACGAGATCAGAAAATTACTTCTATCTACTCAGACTCTCATCATTGTTTTTTTGGCGGTGAGAATCCATGGACCAGAAGTAGTTGGGTGTGACTTAAGCTCCCTATAGCAACACAAACAGTCAAAGACGCTGACACGAAGTAAAAACTGAATATGCACAATGGCTAAAGAAATGAACAACAACAACGCTGCAGCACAGCAGATTTGGTGCGTACTGAACTGTTTGATGGTGTTACACATTGTGGTAATGATATTATTCCATGACTGCTTGTCATTTCCAGAAGGCGAGTGTCCGACCGGTATCAGCTCAACTGATTCGTTCACATGCAGAGGAAGTTGGGTTCCAAAAACATTATTTGGGTACTTCAGCTTCATTAGAACAGCTGCGCCTTGAGCCAGAGTAACGCGTTTACATGCATTTAAAAAAACTGACTGCAGTCATTTTAAGGCAGTAGTTCGGTTTTCAGAGATGCATGTAAACGCGCTGGGTACTTCTGGGTTTATTGTGCTTCGTGCATCCTTTTAAAACTTGATCACAGAGAACACTCTGATTGGCTTAAGATACTGATGTCAGAAGTCCCAAGAATTTCAACATCCCTCCTGAAGTCCTGAAGCAGGGTCAAAAGACCCTTTTTTAGTCCACACGTCCACACTGATGACTCTGATCGCTCCAATTAGCATCCCTTCATTTGTAAATGTGGCCATTGCCAGAGGAATCAGCAGGGGGGGGAGGAGAGAAAAATTCCACACAAAAGTCACATGATGTTGTACCGCACCGCATTATCCAGGTCATTTTGCCAAATGTGAGAGGACTAGAAACATGAGACATGAAAACATGAGAGAAGTTTTCACTTTTTAAACATGAGTGACCTGTTTTGGTGGAGATATGACATTTTGCTGCTGTTCCATAGTGCTTCACTAAACCATATAGAGGATTTTGCCAAATACACCTTGAATTTTGAGAATGTCATCTCAGTTTCGAGAAATTAGCCAAACTAAATGGAAAAAAAAATAACTGTAAATCAACTTAAACTTGTTCAAAAGTTGGGGATAATTTGGTTCAAAATGACTGAGTGTAAGCTGCTCCTGAGAGTGTCTGCCCATCCCCCAGCTGCATTTTTTGCAGGGCCATCCTGCAACAGCTACAGAAATTTGCATGCAGCCTTTTGTGCTGTGGAGGATAAATAGGTGACTGCTTCACCTATTTTGTTGACAAGAAAAAAAATGCAGAGGCTAACCACTCAACAGGCATTGGAACTGATCGTGAGCAAGGCCAACCCTTGTGACTCAGATGGAGAAGACATAGCCCTTCAACCAGATTCGGACTCTGAGCTGTCTTCAGGTTAGATTTCTCAAACTACCTATTTTCATTTCCTGCCCATCTCTTTTTATTTAGAACCAAACAAAAAGTTAATTTAAAATTGTTTATCTTGCAGATGAGGAGACGACTCTACCAAAAAAGAGAGCTTGGTTGGGGAGTGAGCTGACAGAGACCTCAAAAGATGGCACTGTGTGGTGTGAAAAACAAGTGGGGACATGTCTCCATATCACTCCAATAGAACCTTACGCCGCAGCTGGAGAGCCAACGGCTAAGGCCAAACAATGTATCCGGAGTCGCCTTCAGAGCTTCCTCTGTTTTATCACACTTGACATGCTTCGAACCATTCAAGAATGGACTACTCAGCATGCACGTCACACGGAGCAGGTGGACTGGTTCTTGGATCTCCCTGAACTAATGGCATTTATTGCAGTCATTATCTTGCGGGGGGTGACCAAGGTTCCATCACTACGTCACAGCTGGTCAGCAAACCTGGCAAACCCAAGGATCATTGCAACTATGGCCCGAAACCGCTTCCAAGACATCATGCGACACTTACGCTTTGATGACATGTTCACACGCAGCGAGCGAGCGGAGACCAATAAGTTTGCTGCAATCTCCGACGTGTGGGGATCGTTTGTCACCAACTGCATCGCATCCTACAACCCTGGTCAACACATCACTATTGGTGAACAGCTTTTCCCATCAAAGACTCGCTGCTGTTTCCTACAATACATTGCAACAAAACCAGACAAGTTTGGCATCAAGTTTTGGGTGGCTTGCGACTTGAAATCAAAGTACATCTGCAATGTCCTCCCATATCTTGGCAAGGACCCTAGTCGTCCCAGTGGGGAGAGACTGTCTGAGAGTGTAGTGATGAGGCTAATGGAACCATTCATGGACAAGGGCAGAACTGTAACCACGGACAATTTCTTTACATCACTGTCACTTGCGCAACGACTGCTTAGCCGGAAAACCACTATCCTCGGCACAGTCAACAAAAGTCGCCGGGAAATTCCTCAATCCGCTAGACAGGTGGACTGCACTGAATTCACCACTCAGGTGTTTTCAACCACTGGTGTCACACTGACAGTGTATGCGCCCAAACGGAAGAAGGCTGTATACGTTCTCAGCAGCTTGCACAGCAAGGTTGAGACTGAAGATACCACCAAAAGGAAGCCAAACACGGTCACACAATGTAACAGCACAAAGTGCGGTGTGGATGTGATGGACCAAATGGTGCGGGAGTACAGCGTGCGTGCAGGAACACAGAGGTGGCCAGTCGCCGTGTTCTACAACATGATTGACATGGCAGCGCTGAATGCACATGTGCTTTATCAGGCATGCATTGGGGTGCAGGAGAGACGGGTGGACTTCCTGGTTGAGCTCGCAAAAGAGTTGGGTGACGGTCATGTGAGTGAGAAGAAGGCACGCAAGGAGAAACTGCTTCGGCAAAAACCTTCCACACCCAGCCCTGGCAAAAGGGCTAAGTGTCAGGTCAACCATCGTTGCACAAACAATTGTGCAACTGTGAGATGTGTTGACTGCTACAAATATACATGTGGCAAATGTACCAGAGTCATACCCTGGCAGTGCCAGGTATGTTCCGACAGTGCAGACGGACTGCTGAGTGAGTGCTGATGCCACTCACACACACACACACACACACACACACACACACACACACACACACACACACACACACACACACACACACACACACACACACACACACACACACACACACACACACACACACACACACACACACACACACACACACACACACACACACCTGCAGCCCCCCCCCTGCAGCTTAGTGTAAATATGTGTGAAATTGTTTTATTTGTTGTATTTTTTGTATAATTTTTATGACAAAAATAAAAAGCATGGAAACAAATAACAGTTGTTCTTTTGTATATTTCTCATGTTGAAATTTCAGTCCTCTTGACTTAGACACAAATGCTTCTGGTCTTTGCTCACAGCTGGACCTGGAAAACCTTATTTACAAAACAAAAGTGGCTGTTCACAACTCATTACACAATGTTAGCTAAAATCCTTCAGGTCACTCGACCCATCTCTGGGTTCCAAAGGTAGAAATGTTAAATGACCCTTCTCTGGGACTTCTGTTAAACACATCCTACCTGAGCTACATCTGACCTCACTATTAAATACATGTGATTATAATAAAATTGCATGTGTCAGGCTTACTGTAAAGATCAGACCATACTTAACACAACATGCCACCCAGCTCCTGGTGCAATCTACTGTCATCTCCCGCCTTGACTACTGCAATGCCCTTCTAACCGGTCTTCCAGCCTGTACTGTGAGACCACTTCATATGGTCCAGAATGCAGCGGTGCGTCTGGTCCTCAATCAGCCTAAAAGAGAAAATGTCACCCTTCTGTTCACTGAGCTCCATTGGCTACCGTTAGCTGCACGCATCTAATTCAAATCGCTAACACTAGCATACAAAGTTGTGGACGGTACGGATCCCATCTACCTGAATCCTCTTGTAAAGGCTTACATCACGGCTTGGCCGCTCCGGTCATCAAAGGATTGTCAGCTAGCAGTGCCTACACCACGTTCAGGACAATCCAGACTCTTTTCATGGTTCGTTCCACAGATGTTGAATGACCCACCAAGCACTACCTGAACAGAGGTGTCCTTGTTGATTTTCAAGAAACTCCTGAAGACCCAGCTTTTCAGAGAGCAACTTGTAAACTTGGACCCTCCCTGCAGCCGTCCCCCACTCTACTGTCCACTCCTTGTTCATTTCCCTTTAAGATTCATTATGCTTCCTCACTGCCACCCAGGACTGTCTGATTATTGTTTTGTTGTTAGCCTCAAGGACAACCTGCTAGCTGTATTATCACTTGTAAGTTGCTTTGGATAAAAAGTCTGCTAAATACATAAACATAAAGACTTTGCTTGCAATTTATGTACGGGCCACAGGTCGATGATCACTGATCTACAGCATCAGAACAAACCCAATAAATGGGCAACTCACAAAGCAAATAGAAAGAATATTAAAGGTTACTTAGAGTAAATCAAAAAGATAATAAAACTCACCTTAATAACTTCCTGAGCAGCCATGCCTCCAAAGAAAGCATTGAGAGGAGCCAGATCCCCCCGAGCGGTGTAGGACAGACTCCGCACGGCAGCCTCGTCCAGTTCTTCCAGCTGTGCCGCTTCGTTCAGCTCTCTCACAATGGCAACCAGATGATCTGCATCTGCCTGTGTGAGTATTAACACACATTCACATGAGCTGGATTCTAATCGCACCGTCTCGTCACATCTGCATTAGCACACCTGAGACCATGAATGAGGAAGACGCTGTTGCTGCTTCACAAAGCTGTGGAGGGCTTGGAAGGCCAGGTGCAACGTGTTGTGTCTGGCGATTTTCCCATAATCATTCGGAATCAAAAGCTGATGGTCTCGCAGAGCCTCGCTCAGTGGTTTCTGTAGAGCAGGTGGATGTTGTTTAAACAATCAGCGAGGCCTTATTCAATTATTCCCCCTAAAATAATTTCACGGAAACTCACAAACTGTAACTTTAGTGGCTGTTTAACTTCGGTCACGACTCCACCGCGCTCGTAATCGGAAAAGGCGGAAGTGTCACAGATGCTGAAGGAATACTGGCCTGGTGATGGTGGAAACAAAATAATTCTTCCTATAGATGTTCAAATTTCATTCAGATTCTCCTCAGAGGGGTTACTAAGAAGCATGAGAGGAATGTCGAATGACCTAAAGGGACTATGGCTTGATGGAGGCTGCTGCTACTACCCCCAACCAGGACTTAAGAAAATAAAACAGAGTGAAGCAACACCAACCGCAGACTTTGATCTCTACAGGTCCCATCGTGTTGAGCTCAGTCATGCCTTGGACTTCAGAAAAGATCACTTTAGAGCCATCTGAGAGTCCGTGTTTTTGGTCATCGGTGCAAAGAACAACTCCTGGATTGTCCTAAAATAAAGTTGAGAAATATTCACATAAATCTAGTTTAACACATTTATCTCCCAGTTAAAGACCCTTCATTCAGGAATATTTAGGTTTTTATTAAGGGTAGATCAATATATCGGTCGGCCGATATATCGGGCCGATGGTTAACATTTTTAATATATCGACATCGGCCGATATACCTCCTTAGTAAAGCCAATTAAATGACAACATCCCAGAGCAGAACGTGAATTTATATTTACATTCCTGAATAACATCTGCATAATAAATGCTCTAAAATTCTTTTTCAACTTAAACATTTAATACTTGGTCAGTTTTTTGAATTGTTTAATGTTTGATTTTAACACTGAGCAGTGCACAAAATTAAGATTCACCGTGTTCAAAAAACGATTCAAATAAAAAATGTGTTCATCAACTGATGTTACTAGTTACATTTTAGCCTGAAAATATAGGGTGGAAAAACATTTAGCTATCAGCCATGAAAATCGGCAGCACGTATCGACTGACCATGAACTTTAGATACAGTATAGAAAAACAAATATTGGTCAACCTCTAATTCTAATCATAAAGCTTTAAATCCTGATGGATACATTTGGATTTTCTTGGTGAATATTAAAAGTAATGAAAGGCAAACTGATTTTCTTACAGACAGAAAAGGGATTATATTAAACCAGAATAAAAAGTGAAACCTTGGTGATCCGATCTATCATCAGTGACACGGGGGTCTCTCCATCTGGGTCCATAACCTCAAACTCCTCCCCGAAATCACAGAACAGCTGTCTGCAAAAAACAGGCAGAATTTTTCCACCTCTGATTCCCACTAACATATTTATTTCTGACAGTGTGTCTTCTTACCCACAGAGTCCCTTTGTGTCCGCAACTATAAACTGAATTCTATTTAAATGGCAGAGATCCCCAAAACGCTTCTGATCCTCCAGAGAGGAGTCAGTGAGGACCACCACCTGGAAGAATAAACAGTTTATGATGACATCACATTATGGAATGGTGACATATATCAATCGGTTCACTTTTTCTGTGGTTAAAGGGGTGAAAAGCACCTGATGTTGAAGGACCAGGTCCTTGTTCAGCGGTCCAGTGTGTTCTGACACAAGCACGTGAGGGTTTAACGCCGCCAGATGTGGTAGGGAACATGTGGCCCGGTTTTGACCGAGATGACACTCCTGCAAAAAAAACTGGAGGCCAGGAAATAAAATTATAAGAGGTTAGCAAAAACTATTTTATCTTATTCTTTATTAATATATTTCCTCCATAAATCTAGTTTCATTTTCATGAATCTTTATTTTATGATATAAAATAGTTTACTACATAAAAATAACTAATTATGGGTATGTTTGCTCAATAGTGAAAGCAAAAGCTATTGTCAGCTTCACATTTAATTTATCCTTTATTTATGTGAAACAAAATTACAAGGCGGTCTTTGAGTTGCCATCACAAACTAAGGCAGGAAGCTAGTCTAAAAATAGGACAAGGAGCAGGTTAAGGGGGTGAAAGATTATGGTTTTGTTGTTTGTTTGTGTTTGCCTGTTTAAGTACCTGTGATGACAGATCTGACCACTCGGTCCGGCCCTCATCCTGAACAGTGACAGACTTCACCCCGGAAAGGATCACATTTTTGGCTATTTCCACCCCCAGCCCCCTCAGCCCTGCGATCAGAACCTTGGCTGATCCCATCCGGTGCATGGCGTCGTGGCCCAGGACATACCTGTATAAATAAAATAACAAATAAATAAACCACATGTATCCGCGGTCAGAACGCATTCACTAAATCCCTGTTACTTACAGCTGTCGGGAGTAGAAACCCTCATCGATTTCATTGTGTCCTGCCATGTTTGTTCCTGTAGTCTCCTGTTTTTGAAGCGCTTCAATGGGATTTAATCCTAATCTGGGTTAAAAGGAACGAAGATCGGACCGAACCAGGAAGAAAAGAGCACCGGCTCTGAAGAGGACAGCAGTTTAAATGCGCCGGGATTTCACTTTCGCTTCCGAGTTTCTTCTCTGAGGAGTGTCACTTCTTTAGGCGTGATTGCAGGTGTTGGCCACTAAGGGGCAACGCAGGACTTCTAATAAAATATATATATTTTTTCCCACGAAGAAAATAAAGATAAGTGCCGGTCAGAGGAATGGTAAATGTTATTTTTTATTTTAACGATGGGAATGACGTAACCTGCTAAAACCCGGCGCGCGCATATTTTGATCTGTTCAGTCGCCTGAAAGATTTGCGTCACATGATCCCAAACGACAGTTGCGTCACATGACCCAGAAAGAAAGAATGCATGCAAGTGCATGTGAACAAGTTAATTTTCATTGCACTTAAAGACAGCTCACGCAGGGAGGTAAGATATAAATGAATAACAAGACAACACACACACACACACACACATACATACATGCATTTTGGGTTTATGAAACCACTATGACTTGTTGGTGCTTTATGAGGACACACCTTTCTCTGCATCTGGTGAACACGAAAATGTCATTTTCTAAATTTTATCCACGGTAGAAAAGTCTCACTTCAGAAATAGAAAAAACCTATGAGAACATACATACATTTCACACATGACATTTCACAGGCTTATGGGGACTTGACAACAAGGTGGTTTGTGGAGACAATTAGGGTTTCTGTTAACAAAAAATATAAAATTTTAACTGTTTCATGCTTTAAGGGGACTTTCAAACGTTATGAAACCTGTACGCACATTTATATATAACATTCAAAATATCAAGAAATCAAAGAGGGAATAGAGGCGTTGTGAGGACTCAATGTTTGTTTTATTTTGGTTGTCTTAACCTGCCATGTAAGTTATATTTGGCAGAATTGTAGTTTATCTTGGTTGCACACTAGAATTGTTTTTAGAGTTTTCACTCCAAAGATGGTCCTTCCTTCTGTTTCTTAGCCTGGTAAGTCATAGAGAAAAAAATGTTGCCTCAGCAAATGATGTCATTGTATAGGCTACCTTTTTCCTTGACAATGGAGGCCTTTTGTTGTGCCAGTAAATTTTTTCTCCTTGCATGTTTTTGTTTTCTTCCAAGCAATTCACCTTTTATTGTACAGCTTCAAAACATGCTTGTTAGATTAATTGCAGCTGAACTAAAAGATTAAATGACAGTGAGTGAACATGGTTATTGGTTTTGTGCTGCTACTTATGAAATCTGGAAAAGGCTCCTGTCTTCTTCCTATATAAAGTATATATATATATATATATATATATATATATATATATACACACACACACACACACACACACCGTAAGTCCTCTAATACAGGCCCGGGCCTGTATTTGACTCAAGCTCATCAAGCTCCAGGCCTTTATTGGAATGTGGACCAGAATTAGAGGCAGGCCTCTATTTCTATTTGAGTAAAATAATGGTCCACTGGAGTTTTTGACAATTAAAATTGTGCCCACATTTTTTTTATTTATTTTTTTTTTATCGTGTCCTGTCCGGCTGTGACGCAAGCAGAATTGATGTCTGAATGCTGGTGACAAGCCTTACAGATTTACTCTCAGGTGGAGCATCAAAGCGTTTGCTTTTAATGTCACGCCTGATACTTAAAACTTTATTGTTATTGTTGTTGAATGCTTTGTAATTCCGACCAGACGGAGACAGAGGTGAAACAGAAAGGAAAAGAAAAGGTGGGGAGAGAGGAGGGGGGGGGGGGGGGGGGGTTCCACAAAAATAAACAATGAACAAGAGTCTGCTTCTAGACCTGCAGAAAAAGACAAAAAAAGCAAAAGGACAAAAAAAATGGGACACAGCAACAATACAACAAGATCTAGCTGTCATTGCGTCAACTTGATGAATATATAATCAACATTGCTTAACTGAAGAATCACGATAATAAATCACAGTGCATTAAGTGCCCACCATAGTTTTAAGACATGTGTTGAACGTGCCCAAGCCCATACTTTTGAGAGCACCATGTGAGCACCTGTGTGTGTACACGCGCTTGTTTTTTTAAGGTTTCTCTATAGGAGCGTCCAACAGAGAGTGTGAGGGACCACAGATCCGCCCCCCAAAGATGCGCAGGAGACGGGGGGAGCTCCAAGTCCCAGAGATCCAGGCGCTGCCCCAGAACACAGGAACCCCAAGGAGACTGCAACCAGAAAGGCCCCCGCCCCCCTCGAGAGGCACAGAGGATGGCCCCGGGGGGCCACAACCAGCAGCCGGCAAAGTCCCGGGAGACATCAGTGGCAAGCCCACAGGCCCGCCCGCAGCCTCCCACCCCCTAGCCGGCCGAGCCCGGGACCCAGCGACCCGGGACCCAGGGGCGACCACCCCCGCCGGGGACCCAGCAGAGCCCAGGGACCCAGACCCCACCAGGCAGCCACCGGGATCTATCAGGCAGATGCCAAAATCTTAAACCCCCAGACCCGGTTGCCACGAACACTCAGGCAGACCAAGGCACAACCCCTCACACCAGGTGTGGTGGGGGAGGGGGGACGAAGATCTATATCATCAAGAGAAGTTCCAGGAGAAGGGAGGAATCAAAGGCCCCACCTGACATATACAGTCATACACAAACACAGTCACACACTCCCTCCCTCATGCTCACACATGCACATACAACCAAAGACTTACAAAAATGCACGCCGGACACCCACTCATGCTCCCCATACACACCCTATTCACTCTGGTCCCGGTACTGCTGCACATGGGGTACAACCATCACTGGTAACCAGAGTTTGACCCTTTCTGCTGGGGTGCTGATGAGCAAGCTCCCCCGCCCAACGCTCAGCACAGCAACCTACCACCCCAGACCCCAACCAGATGGCCAGATCTCCCTCCTAGCCTCCAGCCCCAGGAAGCCAAGCAACAACAGAGGTGGCTAAGACCCCTAGTCTCCCTCCACCTGCTCCAATATAGTGTTGTGGGATCATGAGGTGTATTCCATGGCTGTGGTGAGTGGGCAGTGCGGGCATCATCCAGCCTATGCCAGCTGATTCCACCGCACCACCCCACTTACACCCTCAGCCATCAGTGTCTAAGTGCGGTTTAAAATTGTAAGTGGGCACCGGCACCCGGGAGGAGGCTGAGATATCCCCCTGCCAAATGCTGTTGAATGTGCTCACTCCCAAGGCCCTAAGTGTGTGTTTGTGTGGAATGTCGTCAGTGGAAGTGTATAAGGTGCAAATAAAATTGGGGGGCAGGTTGCCACAGGAATGCGGAAATGGGGTCCATACCCGCACTCCCTGACTTGCTCACCCCCCAAGGTCCTATGTGTATGTTTGTGTGATTATGTGCCCAAAGTTAAACACATTTCTTTTAACAACAGTAGTTTCTGCTTCAGTCCTCTCCCCATTCCCCCTGCGCAGCAGCCGCAAACTCACTGATACGCCTGCAGCCTCTCGGAGTTCCTGCTGCTCTAAACATTAAAATAATTATTTCATTTTCTGTTCCTCACTTCTGATTACCTTCAATGGTGTCTGTTTGTTGCAACCACCAGGTACAAAAACTAACTTGTTTTTATTTGACTATTTTTCTGTCCTGCCTGTTTATTATCTTCCTGCATCTCCTCTCAATCCTAAAGAGAAACTGCTACCTGGGTTCATATATATTCACCTTATGAGTTACCTTTGAACTGCAGTTCTAAAAGATCTACCGACCGCAAAAACAGCGGAGTGCTCGCCGGCTGCATCAGTTAGGTGCGTCACTGAGGACAAAACAGGTGATGCGCCCTGATCCACAGCAGCGAAACGCATCAGGCACAAATAAAAGAATAAAAGACAGGAAACATAAAAGGAAATGAGCCGACATGAACGATGGCGTGTTAAATTTGTTTTTGAGGTGGCGACACCTGATTTGATAATGTTACTGTGGCCGTGCTCGGGAGGCAGATGTCTGGAGCGCGTCAACAATCAGAGCGTTGCATGCGCAAACTGGTTAAGGTTAGGATGGGGGTGAAGGGAATGTTAAATTGCAAGAGGGTAAATTTCACAATTTGGTTAAATGTCCGTTTTACGGCGGGTGTCAGTACCGACGATCTGGCACAGCGCGTTGCCTCCCGACGCGCAGGAGCTTGTTACCTGCTGACAGCAGGCTGCTGTCTTTTCCGAGGACTGCATCTTGCCGGTCATTATCACGTGACAGCGACTAGTCGATGACAGGCATAAAAAGTCACTATAGAGCGGTGAAGTCGACTAGTGACTAGTTCATACAAACCCTACTGCTCCCCAGAGTGTTCTGCAACATAATCAGCACGTTCTCTTTGAACTTGATATCAAATTTTCTCCTCCTGTTCGTCTCTGCACGGTTAAAGTTACCCTTGCGGTCTATCACTGGCAAATCAAAAGTGAGACGGATGACACAACCGCCCCCCCGTACTTGCTTGTTACCACATTCCACCCAGCCACAATAAAAAAAACGGCCATTATTCACCTCCGCCCGACTCCGACACTGGCCAAAATATGATACCCGGCAGTTAATTAAATACAGGCTAATATTAGAGGATTTACGTTTATATATATATATATTATATATATATATATATATATTCATGTCTTTGACTGATTAGGCCCACCACAGTTGTATCATTCACAAACTTAATAATAATGTTGGTGCTGTGTTATTAGCACACCAGTGTCTATAACCCAATCACTAGAATAAACAACCTTTAATAAAGACCTCATTTTCTTGAGTCATCTGAAGACTCTGAAGTCTTGTGAAGAATCACCAATTCAAGTGGATAATAAACAACATGAAAAATATGATAAATTTTAAGAATAAAAACAAGAATGACACAGGAAACCCATTTTTGCTCAGTGCTTTTGCTGAAAAATGTGGCTGCTTTAGGGTTTGAAGGTATTAAACCAGCTGATATTGTTTGATATATGTTTGCACAAAATAATGCAAAGGTAAAATTATATTTCTGCTTTCTAATAATAAAAATATATATATATATTCTCATTTAATACAATCTGAGTACTTAACTTGCCAGCACAAATCTCTTGTAGAAAATAACCATTCAATGTCTGTTTATTTAGAAATCTCTTCTGGGATTTTGTCTCTCTGGACACTGTCCTCCTTTCCTAAAAAATCATTTTATGAATTTTATTTTTATAGTGCAACTTTGGAAGTACTTCGGTCCGAATTAGATTAAAGAGACTGATGCAGACTTGTACGTAACAGGAAATCCTCACAGCTGTTTTTGTTTGGTTAGAGTTGCAGTCTGTTGGTTTAATCAAGCCTGATGCTGTTGACCTCTAAGTAAAACAACTTTTCAGTTCCACTTCTTTTGCTGGCTCTATGAAATGCTGAGTCTCATCACATGCTTAATCTTTGTGGTTTGAGTGTTTGGAAATACTATGTGTGTATGTTAGGACAACAGCGCCTGTGTTTGCTGAACTTCGGATTCTGTTATAGATGTCTAACTTTTGGATGCTTAACTGGACATTTTCAGTAACTTTGGTTGTTGATTTTTGAACATTTGTAACAGCGTGAAGCAATCACTATCACTGAGCTAACACAGATTTAATCTCTGTGCTTTATCTTTATGCAAATAAGAGATTTAAGGGGGGGTTAAAATGCATAAATCACTGATTCCAACTAATGCCTGCATTGCACATTTCACCTCCTCTCTTTTCCCTTATAATAACAAAAACAGTGGTCAGTCTGAGGAGGGAATACATTCCTCTCATAGCTTCCTGGCTTCAGTTGACTTCATAACCTCATGAGAAAAACACCCATTTCTGGCAGAAATCATGTGAACCGACTTTTTTTCTTAAACACAGAGAAAGTTTTTCCATAATCTTTCCTGAGAGGAAGTATAGGATTCAGAACTCCTCTGTAGGAAACGATTAGGACACGTTAGAGATGGGTGAGGGTGGAGGAGGGGGTGTCCAATTTCGCAACAATTTTGCACTTCCTAGTAGCGGGTGTGGCTTGACAGGACAGCACTAGCACCCAGATGGGTAGAATTAAGCACACAGCAATGTGCATGCATTTCCGGTAAGTTACCCTTAAAAATAAAACTACACTGTCTCCTCAACAGGCTAAATTACCATTTTTTCTTCTAAAGTTTTAAAATGTACAAATTAAACTGTTTAATTAATAGAGAAAATACACATTTTATGCTTGGTCAAATATTTTAATAAAAACAAAAACAAACAACACCTTTGATGAAGAGCCGGCTCTGGACATACTCAAATTAAGCAGCTTCTCGGGGGGGGGGGGGGGGGGGGGGGGGTCACATCATCAAGCCTCCCCCAAGAACACAAAGATAGCATGCAATTTTAAAAATTACTTTAAATAATTTAAATTAAATTATATCAAACATAGAAAAATATTTTATATATTATTTTGTATAGCATTTTTATATAGTGCCGTTTGGATTTATTTTGTAGTGATTGCACATTTTATTCCATTTTATTCTTTTCTAAATTTTAAGAACAAAAAAGAAGGAACTTGGCTGTAAATTCTGTCTTTTTCTGCTGATGTTACTTTTAAATAGTTTAACTAATATAGCACAAAATAACACATATGAAAACCATTTTAAGGCTCCTCAAAAGATTAGGCTGGCCCTGCTTTGATGAAAAACAATTGGTCCCACAAGATGAAAAACTATAGCCAGTATGTTATATAATGTTTCCTCATATAAATATGACTTTTTAACCCCCAACCACGAGTTTAGTATCTGAGATTAATGACAATAAATAAAATATACTAGAATAGAATGTCTTTGTTACGTTCGTTCTGGGCGGTTGCTCTGACAAAAGTGACATTAACGCCGAAATCTCAGCAAAGGTTAAAACCATGTCTGTGTGCTCTGTGTATGATGAAGAAACAAAAAATGAAATAGAATGGAATATACTTTGTTTATCATACAATGGGAAAATTCACTTACAGCAGCACATGCACTTAGAGAAAAGGAAGAAGAAAAATAATAACAAGACTACAAGTAAATACACAAAGGCAGTAAGTTATTAATGTAACCTTCAACCACTAAAAACAATGATCAAAAAGGAAACGTTGACGTCCAGAACTGCATCAGGTACACAGACATCACTTTTGTAAATGTTTGACTTTTATTTTCCCAAATTTTTATCTTTTCAAATTTACTTATAAACTACTACTGATTCACTTTCAACCATATTTTGTGTTATCACAAATGGCAAATTTCTATTGATTACAGTAGATGGGTTGTCTTTCACAGGCTTTTATTTTGAAGGTGAGTCCAACTTCCTGTCTTTGCCTTTGGGCTGCAGGTGATTTTAATCTAACAACCGCTTCGCTCCCACACTGAACAAACTTATACTGTGACGCGGTCAGGTGAACTCGGTCGTGGAATTAATGACCACACAACATTTAATTTTCTCTCTTAAAGAATAAACCTGAACAAGAATAAAATTCCATTGAACACGTCTTCCTTTTCAAAGTAAGGTAAGAGTTTTGCTTACTCACTTTTACTGAGGCAACAATCCTGCTGTGTTTTAAGAATAACATTTATTTTGTTATTAACTAGTCATCATCTATAGATGTTGATTATTTGTAATATAAATAAATAAATAAATGTATACATTAAATAAATACAATCAACACTAATTATTCCAGATGTTTGTTATAATCTTGTACTGATTTATTCTTCTAAAGCTCACTAATTAATTACATGTAAATGGATAAAAAATAAAAATGTACCTGTGAATTATTTCTAGCATACTCTAGTGATTACCATGTATTTGTTTTGTGTGGCTCTGTAGGCATTTCCAGGGTTACTCCACATGTTTCAGCAAGTCCACTCTCCCTCAGATTTATCTTCGATCAAGTTCTTATTTCCCAATGTTTCATTGAGCTTTACACCTGTTTCTCTTGAGAAGGTAGAATCTGTTTATAAATTAGTTTAAGTACAAGTTTGTTCTCAGATTAATTTGTCTGTACTGTTTCCACCTTCCGCTCCCTTCTTTAGAGGCAGTAGATCTCTGTTAAACGTGAGAATGAATCATTACAACCCTCTACCTCTGTTAAATCTCAACATTTTTTTCCATTTCCTCACACAAATATTTTCTTCTTCTTCCAGAATGTTCTCTGACTGGGAAGTGTTTCGCTGGTAGTGCTGAGTCACAATTGGCCGTGACGTTGAGATGGTCACTTTGACAGCCTTGCTGACGATATGCATGTGGATTCAAACACAAACGGCCTCAGGAGAGAATTCCTGTCCATCTGCTCCTTCAAAACTGGTGGATTTTGATGTGGAGTATTCTGTACCTTACTTCCAAACAAACAAAGCAATTCAGAATATTGCGGTGAACTTGGAATCCCCTCCAACAGAGGTGTATCTTGGATCTCAAAATGCAATAGTGGCATTTAGTAATTCTATGACTAAACTATGGGAGGTGAAAACCGGGCCTCTGGACAGTCCTGACTGTCAGACCTGTAAGGCTTGTGGCATAGAAAGTGATCCTGAGGATTCTGTGGACACAGACAATGAAGTTCTTCTTTTCGAACCGGTAGAAGTTTCCCTGCCATACTTGTACGTTTGTGGAAGTACTCAGCGAGGAATCTGTTTCTTCATCGACACGAGTGATCCACTTGAGCCTAAATGTTTATACAAAAGAACGAGAAACTCTCCTGATAACTGTCCCGACTGTGTGGCTAGCCCTCTTGGCACTAAAGTCACCATCGTTGAACAGGGAGCAACTTCACTGTTCTTTGTTGCAGCTTCTGTCAACAATAGAGTGACAGAGAATTATCCAAGGAAGTCTATTTCAGTGATAAGGCCACTCGCCACTGAGGATGGCTTTGAGATGGTCATCAATGGCATGACGGTGCTGCCGAGTCTGCGTGACACTTACAAAATAGATTACATTTACAGCTTTTCCACCAGAGATTATGTCTACTTTCTGTCCCTGCAGAGGGAAATCCCCTCTAAAAGCAACTCACCTTTTGAGACTCGTCTGGGACGGCTGCCTATTTCAAGTCCGGAGCTGTGGCTGTACAGGGAAGTGGTCTTGGAGTGCCGGTTTGAACCAAAGCGCCGGAGGAGAAGGATAGGGACTCGTGCCATGGATATTGTATATAATGGGCTGCAGGCAGCACATTTTGGACACGCTGGTAAGGACCTGGCTGACGAGTTGAGGGTCGACGTGAAAGACGATATTTTGTTTGGGGTCTTTGCCAAAGTTGACAAGCAAGGTGTGGTTCAGAAAAACTCAGCCCTCTGCGCCTTCCCTTTAAGTAAAGTCAACCATGCGATTGAGGTGGGGGTAGAGGCGTGCTGCAAGTCAGGTACCGAGCAGCTGTCAAGAGGCCTCTGCCACTTCCAGCAGTGTGAGAACTGCCCACATGAAGTGAGTAATCAAACAACTACACAGTTTAGCTTGTGCTCATGCATGAAGTGATCTGTCCAGACTAACACTGGGTTGATAAATCACATGTACCCAAAGCAACATAGAGTACAGTTTACAGAGGTTTTAAGTATCTATAAAAACTACACTTTGCAAAGAAAACATTGGATTTTGGAATATTGTGTGTATCAAACTCTATATTTGTTGATTTTAGACATATGGTGTGAATTAAGTTTTAGTCATGGTCAGGGTTAGAAATGGATTGATAATGGTTAGGGTTAGGGAAGATAAGCACGTGTGTGTGTGTGTGTGTGTGTGTGTGTGTGTGTGTGTGTGTGTGTGTGTGTGACCAATGGAAGGAAAAGCAGACCGATGTCAGAGACTAATGGGCTCGACACACGGGAGGCGACAAACGACCGCGATCAGCGAAATTTGTCGCCATCGCTTTTGTTACCTGACACACGGGAGGCGATCCGCAGCAGCGGCCAGCGGCAAAGCCGTCTACGCGTTCTGTTCCATGGCGAAATTGAAACTTCCGTTGTTTTGTTTGGCTGTGTCAGGTTGGAGGGAATTAAGGTTATTTAAGCTGTTCAGAGTTAATAAAGCGATAGATATGATGTTTCACAAGGTGCTGCTAGAGTTATGTGAAATCTTACTTCTGATTTTACTATATAAAACATAATAATAATAATCAACTTCTCCTCCATGTTTGCTCGGAGGTGTACGGAGCATAATGTCCGCTCATTGGTCAGTGAATGAAACCTCTGTTGATTGGTCCTCGTCCGAGCGACAGCGATGAAAAGTTGAAAATGTTTCAACTTTCTGGGATCGCGTCGCTGGGTCGCCTGTGCACGACACGTGCACGAGCGCAAAATTTCACACTCACGTTTTTCGCGTTTCGCTTGGTAGGAGGGAGACTCGCGATTATCGCTTTGTCGCGCATGTCTCATTGAAAATGAATGGTGGAGAGGCGATGTCACCTCCCGTGTGTCGAGCCCATAAGGGATGGTTGAGTCTGTAATGTGACATGAGCCTTGCCACATTGTTTCTATTTTTTCAGCTTCAGTGTTAAAATTTAATTCGTCTCTAAAATATAGAAGCAACAATGGAAAACTCCATCACTTGACCTGAAGGGCAACATTCATACATTATTGTTTTTGCCTGTGGGTGAGGTGTGTTTTCTTCTCAGATCCTCAACTATATCAGCTGATAGTCGTCTGACAGGTACTTTATGCACAAGCAGGTTTTTATGAGATGTTGCAAATGTTTCAAAACATTGTTTCTAAGAACTGACCTAAAAATAAGGTGATTTTAGGTTCAAACTCTGGAATGTTATGCAGAAAGCAACATTCATTCATTCAAGGAATGTTTGGCATTTTATTATTTTGTGTTCCTAGCAGCCATGTATGCTCATAGTTTACATGTAAGATGAATGTTTCAAGTATTATTTTTAACCCTAATCCTTTGGAGTATTTACAAGAGTTTATAGGGAAGATATTTCAGTATTTCCTACTCTATTTGTGGAACTAAATACACTTTTCTTTGTCCCGATCAGCTGAAATGTTATGTTGATTATAAAAGTTGTCGAGTTTATGCTTCAATATTTGTCTTTTCCTGTGCACGTTGGAAGTAGGTGAAGTAACCCAAATCAGTTGGACCACTCCAGCTCAGTGAATTAGCCCGGAGTACCTACTTTAAACTCATTTTATTGAGCTACAGTTCCCAACAAGAAAGGTGTGGTTTCTTCCTTTTATGGACTTCCAACTGTGAACTTTGAGATCCCACAGACATTCCTACACCTTCAAGCATGAGAGCCAACAAATACAAGCTGTAAATCCAACTGATAAAAAGAGGAATTTCAGTGGGAAGGGTCTGTGTTATCTGTTTTATGTCAGGAATAGGAAATAAAAACCAGGATTAGACTCAATGTTGAGGTTCAAGTTTTTTGCATGTGGGACTTGGTGAGCAGGACGGTCAATGCACATTATAGAAAACAAACTAATTGGACAACAGGATGCACAAAGGATGTGCAAAATACGCATGTGTAAGAATGGATGTAACTGCTTGAACACTGTTGCTAACCACTTAAACATTCTCCCGCTCCTGATAATAACATTTTGCTTTCTTTGACATTGGATGTGCTACTACTAGTTTACCCGTTTAATTATAGATTCACTCGGATAAATACAATAAAGTTTATCTCTCACCAAATAGAACATTTACTAAGAAATCACAATGTAACCATATAAACATTACTTGGTATATATGCTGTGTGTGTGTGTGTGTGTGTGTGTGTGTGTGTGTGTGTGTGTGTGTGTGTGTGTGTGTGTGTGTGTGTGTGTGTGTGTGTGTGTGTGTGTGTGTGTGTGTGTGTGTGTGTGTGTGTGTGTGTGTGTGTGTGTGTGTGCCCTCTGCTCTGCTCTGCTCTGCTCTGTCTTCTCGATCCCAGTGAGTCCTGGTGGATGGCTGCTTATACTGATCCAGGATCCTCTGGAGGTTTCTTTCTGTTAAAAGGAAGTTTTCCTCTCCACTGTCGCTGCATGCTTGCTTATGAGGATTGCTGTAAAGTCACTGATACTAGTCAGTGACTCGATGCAATTAGCTGGGTTCCTTATATAGGAAACTTTTTTCTTATTGGCTTAATGAACTGACCTGTATTGGAATGTTTATTATGTGAAGTGCCTTGAGACGACTCATGTCGTGATTTGGCGCTATATAAAGACACTTGAATTGAATGTACTGACGAATTGAAGATTAAGTGAATGTTGAAATAGATTTCAAGAAGAAGAAATAGAACACTTTACTGGAGTTTGTGTTGCAGTTTTGCAAAAGCTTGAATGAGAGTAGTGCAGTATACAAGATCCAACTGCACATTTACCAGCACATATAAGAAAAATTCAAAATATGCAATTTGATGAGCACAGAACTATGCAAAAAATCTTGGATCATCTCTTGGCGGTTTGTATTTTCCGTCCAATGAGCCAGATGTTCTTGTAAGTTTTTAAATCTTCCTGAACAATATTCTCCAAACTTGTCTCTTGGGGTTTGGCTGCTTTTTTTGACTAAGTTTCAGTCGAGTGCAGGACCATTTTCTGAAGAATGTTTGCACATGTGCTCATCAAGATACTTGTCTCTGTTCTATGAATCATTCAGGCATTAACTTTTAAACCCAAAGGTCTTCAGAAAAAAGATCTTTAGATACTTGCTGCCACAAAAACAGATTTATTTCTGTTTATTAAGTTAAATCAAGGAGGAATACCTAAGCTGACACAGTTCTAAATGTAAAATTGTAATTTAGCACAGTAGATATTTACAGAACATTTGGCTTCTTTCATATCTAGTTTCAGCTCTTTTCTGGATTATTTCCCCACGCCTTTCAGATTACATTCATCTGAAGTAGACATTTTTAATGTGTGACACTTTGTTTGCCCTCTACTTGTCTAATTCTTTGTATTTTTAAGCATGTGTTGCAGAACATGTTATGATACCAAATAGTAAGTAAGTGAAACAGCAGAGAAAGCCCAAAGAAAGACTTTGAAAAACCTTCACGTAATTTGGGGAACTGCTGATCTTAAAGGATTACACAAAACATTTTCTCCATAGAAGTAAGGGGGGGGGGGGGGGGGGACTGTAAGGGTGGTTTATAATACAGTTTGACGAAGAAATTGCATGTGATACTTTCAAAAATAAAACAAGGAACTTTGTGTAGAAGCAAGAAAAACATGTCTGGACAAGTCAGAAAAGAGCTTCATAATGGAATGTTTACCATGAGTGTAACACAACGCCTGGGACTAACTCTCTGAAAGCTAATGGAAACTTGGTAATGAAGTGTTTTATGAGTTCCTAAGTGCATAAAGTCTAGTTTCACTTCCAGATGATACATACTATGAATCAGTCACCAAGTCAACAAACCTGGGATGAATTAAGTTTTATGACTCTCCTCTCACTGTACGATTTAACACAGGCGTAGAATACTTCCTCTTTTAATGACTGATTTAAGTCTATTTGTCTTTCTTTGAAATTGCATCGTGTATATGGGGTGATGGTAGAGGAGGAGTTACGTACCCGCCCCGTGACTGGAAGGATGCAGGTTTGTGCCATGTCACAGTTGTTATGTCCTTGGGCAAGACACTTAACCCACCTTGCCTGCTGGTGGTGACTGGAGGGACCGGCGGTACATGTCTACGGCAGCCTCTGTCAGTTTGCCCCAGGGCAAATGTGGCTAAAATGTAGCTAATGGGTAAATAAGTGTTGTGTTGTAAAGTACCTTGGGGGTTGTACAACACTATATAAATACAGGCAGGTTACCACTAACCATATAGACCCATTGAAGTGTTACGTCACATGCCCACTAGAGGTGGGAAAAATGATCGATTCTAAGATGCATCGCGATTCAGCCGTGCATGATTCCGCATCGATGCAGCAACATGACATAATGAGATTTTCTCCCTATGTCTATGTCGGGGGTCGGCAACCCGCGCCTCTGGAGCCGCATGCGGCTCTTCCATCCATCTGATGCGGCTCTCTGTGCTTGTAAAATAAGGAATGGATATTTAAATAAAATGCTTTATATTTTACTGCATTAATTTTACATCTGTATGCCAATTCTATGTAAAGATTGTCTGCGTAAACCTGAACAGTTCCAACCCGGTCTTACTGTGAGACCAGGTTGACGGGTCACACTTGTGCGTAATCATATAGGCACCGTACGTACGCGCCGACAGTGAGCTGCGCTGAGCAGTGTCCAGCTCAGATGTTTAGATGGGAATCATTTCTTGGGTGATTTAGCTACATCTGCGATGTGTGTAGAATAAAATGTCAGTTCGTCTGCATGTGTCGGGGTAATTCTTTCTATTCTTTCTCCATCAAAATAAACGGCCAAATACGGGAACTATGCGGTCAACACAAGCCCTGCTTTTAACTGTTCTGTTTTCTTGTGAAAATTGTTGCAAAGAGATATAATTTAACTTGATTAACACCAGAGCCAGGCGCACTGCGCCATTATCTCCATCACTGTAAATGAGGGAAAAACTAAATGATCTGATCCTTTTCTGACCTTCTCCACCTACAAAGTTTAATTACAACAATCAAACGTGACAGAGCCTGGATTTGTATTCTGAACAGTCTAAACATGTTTTAAAAAGAAACGTGTGACAAAAGTGGCACCTGCTCAGTAAAACCACCAACAGGGTGAAAAATATCAAAATATTGTAGGCAGAGACAGGCTACAACTTCTGGATCCATTTTATATAAATCGTTTTATTGATTATCGTCTTATGAAAGATAACTTTGACGTACACGAGCGACCGGTACCGGCTGCTGTCACCTGTTGTGGGCAGCTCTCTGCTGTCTCCCAGTGTTTTCTTTACTGTGGGAAATGGGTAATAATGGCTCTTTGATGGGAACAGGTTGCCGACCCCTGGTCTATGTCTATGCAGGACAATAAAGTTTTGAGGTTTTACAATTACTTCTGGGGGCAGAGTTGCAATGGCATGCGCACTGCGTTGCCCTAGCGCCAATTTAAAACCGAAAAGGCGGACAGGGATACAGGGCCAACATTACCAGTAATCAAAGATGTACCCGTTACATTTAAATCGGATGTCTGGGCTAATTTCGGTTTTGGGATCCTGGATGTGAAAGAATCACTTAACACAGTATTTGTTTACTATTTTTAAGTTCAGTAATAGTCTATCTTAAAGCTGCTCTACCGAAAACATTATTTCTTATATTATTTAAGTAATTATAGGCAGCACACTTTAAAAATTATTCCTTACTATAGTGAATTTTCAGGGATTTCGAAATCAAAAACAAATTGAAAACTATTCTACTGCTTTTATTAAGTAATGAAAATTTTTGTGTGAAGAATTGTGATGCATTTCAGACTCAAATCGAATCTTTAGGCAGATAATCGGAATCGGATTGAATCGTGAGGCAGGTAGAGATGCACACCACTAATGCCCACATCCCACCACAAGAAGCTGTAACCTCCCAGTTGACCACAGTTGTGTTTATCAGTTACTGTAGTTGTCAATAAACAGAACTAACTAACAGCAAAATAAAGTATCAGCATGTTTAACACATGTAGAGCTGTGGACTGCACAAGTAGACAAAATAAGGACTGAAAATTAAAATTTTTACAGGTTTCCAGCTGATAAAATACACAAGGTCAATGGTTAATGACCAATTCTAGTGGATAAACCACCCACATAGTGGCAGGCAAAGTCTCATGACAGTACAAAAAAGTAAAATATCTTCCCCACATGTTCAGAAATAAACATGTCATAGCCATCTAATGACTTAAATGCGTTTCATATATAATTATGCACGGCTGCGGGGACGAGGAGCCGGCCAGGGGAGAACCGACCGACTGAGCAGATCAAGCAGAAGGATGAACTTTGCTGCAGATCAGTCCTGGGAAATAAATGTGTGTGTGAAAATAACGCCAATGTGATGTGTAGTTCTGTATGACCCGCGGTAACAGTCTTGTTACAATTACTCAAAATGTGTTGCGTAATTGGAGCTTTTGTGTCTGTTTACTTTTCTAATCGGACTCGTCTCCAAAGAGGAGTGGTGTCATGGTGATCCTTCAGCATTGACCCACAAAACGTACAAGAAACTTTGTTGCACCTTCAGTTCAGCTATATAAGGTCTAGAACAGTGGTTCCCAACCTTTTTCCCAAGGGACCAGTTTTTTACCAGTAAAATTTTTGACGACCCCCTCCTATTCTCTCTTCCAGTACAAACAGTATTAATAAATGATAAAATTGTTCAAGTCCATTTTAATTTGCTTTGATTCAATAGATAACAGTAATAGTAGGCTCCAGTACAGAACAAAGTCATTAACAAAACCAAACAGAGCATAATGTGCTTGACAGTTTGTATTACTTTTCTGAACACATTGTTTCTTGTAAACACGGATAAATCAATCATTCCTTTCAATAAACGTTTGACACATAAAAAATACACTGAGCAAAATGTACTTAAATGTGTATATTACTGTTTATACTAGATTATTTACTGTAAACGCTGTGATTAATCAACCAGTCCTATCTTTAATGAACTTTTGACACTTGAAAATAAAACAGTGAGTTGAGCAAAATGTTCTTAAAAGTGTGTTACTTTTTCTGTACTAATTATTTCCTGTCTTAATATCAGTAAACTTTTCACTCATGAAAAAAAAAATGTGAGCAAAATGTAGGCTATTAACAAGTAATAAATGAAGTTTTAACCCCTTAAAGTGGAGAGGTCCTGGCGACCCACTGAGAGGCTTTGGCGCCTCCTTGTGGGGGTCTGGACCCCCAGGTTAGGAACCACTGGTCTAGACTGCCGTTTCTGAGGAGGACTGTCGTCCCCACAGCTTGCTAACTTTTTCAAACTGAGCGGATATGGAAGTTTTATGCTAAAAACTTGTTACATGATCTAAAGTTGTAAAATCAAAATCCTTAGGTTTTATTTTGTTAGCTTAAATCGTGGAAATACAGCTCTGGATAATGGCTGGAGATAGGTTTCATGCCATCCAGCTAGTGTGGATGTGCACAGTTACCTGGATGTAAACAATAACTTTCAATGAGTCTATATATCTGCAAACAGTTTACCACTAAACATAAATTGCGTGTATCTGCTTTGCTAACAGAGGACTGAATGTGGCAGACTTAATTTACAAAGTGATGAATTCTTAGTTCTGACATAGAGTAACTGTGATTCTTTCACATTTACAGAGCTCTGAGGGAAATGACACATGCATTCATGTGCCCACACTAGTATCAAAGCCTTACTACAGACTGGATCTCTTCAACAGCCAGATGAATGGTGTCCTGTTCACTTCTGTTCTGGTCAGCACCATTGGGAGTCACACAGTTGGACATTTTGGCACCTCAGATGG